AACTTAAGGCATAGAACACTTGCGATAGATGACATATTTAAACGATCAATGAATTCAATAAACTGAACAGACCAGTTAATCGTATCACACTCTTCCCCAAAACGATATCAGAATGTTTGCGTCTAATCTGATTCAACCCGCATTAGCGGTGCTTCGTTGCTGGCTGATATGGGGTGAGAATAGCTCTTAGCGGTCTGACCCGCGCTTTAACACAACATCACACAAGTCGTAGCACAACAACCTGTCCCCTCTCGATGTTCTGGATAGGTGCTGTTCACAAAGTCGTGGAGAAGGGTCACCCTTTGTAAGCCCCGTTACACTGATGGGAAGATCACGCTCATTTAGAATGAGAATGCCGTAGTGAGTATTCTGGCATTGTAGACTCCTGTTGGTTCTAAATTGGCTTCCTCTTCGACACCAGGGTTGAGATTTAGTGGTAACACTTTCTTTTTAGACGTTCTTCGTGTGAATATGGTGTAACACTCAACTCTTTTGACGATTCGTCAAAAGAGTTGAGTCTTCGTCAATGACGAAGACAGGCTGTTTTAAACAAGAGTTCGTATAGAAAGGCACGCATGTAGCTAGACGCTACCAAGGACACGTTATGTGGTGTGGTAATGCGCATCGAGGACGAAATTACTCTGACGGATGAGCTACAGAAGCGTCAATCGGGCCTATTAGCAGTCGTAATCATCCAATACTTGCCCGCGGCCGGATGTCTGTGTGCCTCTTTCGATGCACTTCGCGTGAGTTTAGTAAGTGTGTGTCCGAGTCTTCTCTAACCAAGTTTACACAGTTTTACAGGCTACTGCACATTGCTAATATTTGAGACAAGAAGTATGCTCACCTACAATAGCCCACTCCAATCCCCACTACAAGCTGCGCAACACTTGCCCGGTTATTTCGATTCAAAAGTATTTGAAATCTAGACAATGAGTTTCTCACAATTAAATTATATTGGTATTATATCTACTATAGTCAAGTTCACTGCGACAAGCTCTTCTGAACAGTCGAACTACTTGACAGTCTTTTAGAGAGATCATCCAGATCAGCCTGAGTAGCCATTAGAGCACTGACGAGTTCTCTTGCAGCGGCCTTGTTCTGAATGAATCCGAAATCACTGAGCATGTCGACGAAGTTTCTTGCTAGTGGATCAGCTTGAACATTCTGAAGCTCCTTCGTCTCATCCTCAACTTCCTTAGTATCCTTCTTTGCATCAGCCTTCTCGTAACCCATCAGGCGATCAGCAACCTTCTGCATGCTTGACAAGTTGTCGAACATGTTGTTGACAAGCTCCTCGCCGCTCTTCTTGTCACTGACAAATCCAGACTTGTTCAAGAAGTCGGCCATTGCATCTTTAGCCTCCTTCTCGGAAGACACTTCCTTCTCCATATGCATCACCTTGGGCTCAGAGCCTGATTGCTGGACAGCCTTCTCGCAGCTAACGCTGACCTCAGGCTTTTCCTGCGAAGTAGCAACCTGCTTTTGAGCAGCATCGTTCTCCTTTTCAACAGAGGGCTCTTCTTTCTTGTCGACGACGGCCTTCTCTTCTTTCTTCTCAGCCTTCTGCTCCTTCTTAGCCTTCAATGAATCGGCAACCTTGGCCATATCCTGATCAGCAGCCGCTAAACTGTCAACCAAACGCAATGCTGCGAAAGGATCAGTGACATAGTCCAAGTCGTCGAGCAAATCAGCAACCATGAGAGCAGTGGGGTCCAATGGAGTAAAGCTAGGCTGTTCACCTCCCTTAACGTCCACGTAGATATCCAATACAGGGACAGTATTAGAGATCTTGCCCCTAGCATCAGCAACTGCCAACGCATCAGGGAGAGAGAGGTCGTTCAGTAGACACATCTCACCGACGTTGTCCAAGTAGAAGAGGCGATAGTCGCGGAACTGAAGTTCACGCCAGGCCTTTTCCACAAAACCACAGAGTTGCTCGTAGGTCTGGCACTGTTCGGGATCGACTCTAACACGGATTGTCTCCGAATCAGAGTGCAACTTAAGGCATAGAACACTTGCGATAGATGACATATTTAAACGATTAATGAATTCAATAAACTGAACAAAATGACGCGTGCCAATGATACTCTTACTTCTAGACTAACTCCTCATCAACAAACCCACAGTTACTAATAGAATGACAGTAACTGACAGCTTTAACGAGAATAGCTTGTAGCGTTTTGATTCCCGCTTAGATACACAACGTCACACAATTATCTGTCTCCTCGGGAGAATCCCTGCGGGGATACCGCCTGAAGTCCATCTGACGGAGTTTGCCGAACGTGGCTCCTAACTAACGTAGTCTTGTTGGGTGATAAGCAAGTACACTCCTGCGATTCCAGCTCACGGAGTGGCAAGGCATGTAGAGATAATAGCCTTACCAGTTCCACAACTGTCTCCACGTACGAGTATCTTGCGCGTCGTCGTGTTAATGTCCCCGTTTTCAGCTACAATACAGCTAGAACCCACGTGAACACGCCGAGTTTATTGTTCTACCTCTAGGTGGTGTTGTAGTAACTAGTTCTCATTGAGAGACTTCGATAGCTGTTTTACAGTCTCAATTGAATTTTCTTTCATAAATACTAATAATAATGTCAAGTGATCTTATTCTAAAGCTTCGTACAAGAACACAAACTATGAGGGTCAGAGTTGCCTCTGAGAAGTTGACTGATATGTGTCAAATCAAAGACTTCATTGAGAAGGCCTGGACTCAGTTGCAGGGCAAGCAGTATCGCGTGTACTATGTCGATGAGTTCGGCGAGATGTGCGTCTTGAACGACTTGTCTCTTGGTGATGCTATCGCAACTGTTAGAGAACAGGCTGCTGCTCTCGACATTACTCCTGTGTTGGACTTATACATTCAAGACGAGGGTGAGGAAGTTCCACTATCATCTACCGCTCCTGAGGAAAACATCGCTCAAGAGGTTGATGTAGCTGATACTCTTGCACAGTTGTTGGATGACATGGACTTCATGGACAGTATCGATGCCGCTGAGCAATTCGTTGATGGTTTGGTGGCAGCTAACTCCGACTTGGATGCCATACTCGGCCACTTGCGAGGTGAAAACAGCCCTATACAACGGAGGGCTGTTCCCGCTAGTGCTCCTGCTAAGTCTCTTGCGGCTCCTGAGAAGAAGTCCACGAAAGCCGTGCAGAAGGCTGCCAAGCCCTCTAAGGAGCCATCTACTACTGGCGAGATAGAAGCCAGCGGGTACGAGCAAGTTGGTGACAAGGCACCCAAGCAGTTCCATGTTGAGAGACAGGTGTCTTCTGCGAAGGAGGCGTCTGATATGATGGTTGACCTTCTCTCGAAGATGGGCTTTGTCAATAGCAAGAAGGACGCCCAGGACCTCGTTGCCCAGCTCACTAGTGGTCCGGAGGATCTACAGAGAGTTGCGGATCATATTGAGGACTTGGTAGAAGGCAGAGAGCCTACTGTTATGGATGGTACTGCCAAACAGTTCATCGATATGCTGAACGACACTGGTGCGGTTCAGGACAGGGATGCTGCCGAGGACCTTGTGGGTGCATTGGTGGACGCTGAGCAAGATGTAGACAAGGTCTTCAACAACTTCTTGGAAAGAACCAATTCCAAGCAAGAACAGAAGGCTATTCAGCAGCCTCGGAAGTCTACGAGGAGGTCACATCGCAGTCGCCGTTCTTCCAGAAAGCAACAGGCCGCTCAAACCTCCGCGTAAGTGCGTAGTTCCTTTATTTTTATACTCCAACTTATAAAATACTCATTCGGTGATATGACTTTGATTGCGGGATATATATTCCCATGAATTCCCATGTAATTGTTGTGTTGATAGCTATTAACTTGATACAAATCTAATAGTATTGGACTTTAAGAAGCCCTTCCCTGGGAGGGTATCGGAATGCGCTTCGAAAGTTGGCGGTGGCCTATGCGGTGTATGTTAACTATCCTGTTCTGATAACTCCGATAATTCAAAACATCCGATAATTCCAGTATCTGGTATGAGAGATGTTCCCGTTCCCGAGAGCAACCCTCGGTAAGCTAGTGACAGTAGCACGTGCTCCACTTCCTGAGTCTAGGCACTTACCTCCGGAGGATTATCTAGTGTAAACTGTTTAGGCATGAGAACCGGTCAATCGATCGTTGGCACCCGTAACTGGCCCATCCGGCCCCAGCGCGCCTAATATAGCAAGCTGAAATGCGTGCGCAATTAGCACCGGATTCCTTCTTCTTGGGTCTGGAATCTATGAAGTGTATCAGTAGGACAGCTATTTGCTCTATCCTGCATTTACACCGCAATGTATCATCTCTACAGGAATTATCAAATTAGTTGTAAGTCGCTATCGTCTAGCGGTTATGGTTAAAGCCTGAGACAATCGCTAGCTCCGTATGTGCAGATATCAGGAAGAATGAGTCTCGGGCTAGGCCTTTCCGCTTTGGACTGGCGATGGCCTACTCAATGAGGTACTGTAGACTGATTGAACTTCTATGCATCAAACCTTTGGCCACGCAGGGTAATGATTAGTGGATTCCCATACTACTAGATAGGCGGGCGGAGAGTTTAGTAGATCACTTCTACCGGGTAAACTTTTTGGGGCGACGAACTTGCTGGCGTGCGGCATCGTGTCACGCTGCGTCGCTGACATGGAGCGGACGAGCTGTACATACTAAGTAATCACATATAGCCCAGATAGCTCAGTTGGGAGAGCGCCAGACTGAAGATCTGGAGGTCCTCAGTTCGATCCTGGGTCTGGGCATCTTCCTATGCCTGTCGTATGGTTGTCTGGTTCAAATTGTTCAGGCATGGAAAGCTGTCAATCGATTGGCGGAGCCCGTGACTGTCTTTCAACCCCAGCGCGCCAGAAACGAAAAATTCGTGCGCACATCGCACTAGCTTGGTTCTTCATGTGTCTGGCGTTGAGGGTGCTACTTGTGTTAGTGGGACAGCTATATTCTCCACCATGTATGCATTGTATACGGCTATGTATCGTCTTCACAAGATTTCTAAAACTAGTAGCAAGTCGCTATCGTCTAGTGGTTAGGACGTCACGTTGTGGCCGTGACAACCCCGGTTCAAATCCGGGTAGTGACTTTATTTCCAAATTTATGTATAGTTCCAGACATAACCTGAAGGCTGGGTAGAAAACAGCAGTCTGATATATCTACAATTATCGTGGAAACTAAAACAACCACCAGCTCTGTGCATGCAGACATCTGAAAGAGGGAGTCTTTCGCGATGCATTTCCGCTCAGACCGGCGATCGTGCGCCCGATGAATTATACTAACTGACCTACGTAGATGCATTAGACCTTTGGCTCTGCGGGTTTTTGATCAATGAGACTCCATACTACTAGATAGGCGGGTGGAGGGTTGGTTATTTTGCTTTTACCGGGCGGACTTTTCGGAGCAACGAAATTGGTGGCGTGCGGCATTGAGTGTAACCATTTGTCACACTGCGTCTCAGACACGGAGCGCGCGAGTAGTACACACCGAACTAGTAGATGTATCCCAGATAGCTCAGGCGGGAGAGCGCCGGACTGAAGATCTGTAGGTCCTGAGTTCGTTCTTGGATCTAGGCATTTCACATTGAGAGTTGTTATTTGGACCTCCCGGAGGGTTCATATGCGGTAGCTCCACTCATGCATTCTAACTAGCGGGGTGGTGAATCGAGCGCTACGAATGAATGCTCAGCTCGCATCCCAAACTGTGATTTTAGGTGCATAGCCGCCGGCTGCGGCCAACCAACTTCACCTGCTCCATAATGTTCTTATATTCGAGCTGATTATGCTCTAAAGTGCTCTGCCGGAAGGGACGGGCAAGGAAGTCGTAACCTGTTAATTGCACAGACATGCCGCATGCACGCAGCACGCCTCCTGGCACATAACCTTTAACCTATACTTATGTGTCAACCTCTATGAAAAAAACGTACTAAAGCTTAACCTATTCTATTGGAATATGGTAGTCATGCACTCATAAACACTTCCGAACACTCCCTGGCTTGTTAATCACTTCCACAAGAACAACCTCATCTTAACGCAACATATGTTTTTTAAACGCTGAGGCTACTCAGACATTATGACACTGACGATAGCTTGGCTTAGAGAATAAAATTCATCACGGCAGTAGTGTTTCATAACTATGAATGGTATATTAAACTATGAATGTAAAAACATAAAATGGTCGAATAGCTTAGTCAAGCAAATCAACATGATCGGCCTTAGGATCGCGCGGATGCTTCGGTGCAGCCCAACCCCAACGAGGTTCTGTGGCCTGCATCGTGCGTCCAGACTTCCTCTGCTTCCTTTCATATCTCTTCACCTGCTTAGCAATGCATCTCTTAGCTCCTGCATCTTGCTGAGCTTGCTGCTCTTCGGGAGTAAGCAATGGCTTCCTGTAGATGGGCTTGGAAGGACCGTGAATGAAGTGGTAGAGGATACTATCCAAATCCTGACCAGTAGCTTCAAGAGCATCAACCAGCTCATCAGCGCTCTTCTTGTTGGAAACGAAACCGTAGTCGTTGAGGAGCTTAGCAAGTCGTTTGCCGCTCTTTTCATTCTCCTCTCCACCTTCGGCCTTCTTCATATCCATCGCGTCTTCTGACTCTGCCTTCTCCGCGCGGTGCTGCTCGTCGGCCCATCTCTTGATATGATCAGTAACCTGGTCTAGAGCACCAGTAGAAGGAACGAGCTTCTTCACAAGCTCACGAGCGGCCTTCTTGCTATCAACAAAGCCGAGACCGGTAAGAAGATCTACCATGGTATCGATGGCTTCTTGCTCGTCAGAGACCTCTCTCTGAATCTTCAGTGGCTTGGTCTGCTTCTTGGCGGCCTTATGGGCAATGGCCTTGGTGGGCTTCTTCGCAGCAATCTTCTTGGCAGGTTGCTTCTTCGAGACTGGCTTTTCAGCCTTAGTCTTCATAAGCTCATCAGCGACCGCGTCCAAATCCTGACCAGCAGACTGGAGAACTTCTGCAAGCTCCTGTGCCATGGCAAAGCTTGGTATCATATCAAGATCAACAAGCTCATCCACAACACGGGACAAAGGATCCTCCACGATGACATCAGTCTCCTCCTCATCTTCGTCAACGGGTTGTACGTAGATGTTGAGAGTAGGCACTACAGACTCCTCGGCTAGAAGCAGAGCGTCCGCCAACGACACCTGGTTAAGAACGCATGCGTCGTCCAAGTCATCGATGTAGTAGAGCTGGTAAGGTATCTCCTTCAGATCGGGCCAGGCCATCTCTACATAACTGCAGATCTCTTCCATCTTCTCACATTTCTCAAACGGGGCTCTCACTCGGAGGATGTCCGAATCGAGATGGAGTTTCAAACAGATTTCACTTGACATATTAGTATTTAAAAAAAGAACGATTCAATATCTAAAATACAATACAAACAAAAAATCTCTGACAATAGATTCATTATCATCGTCCTTTATTTAAGTTCCGAATGTAGAGTAGCAATGAGAATCTTCACCAGCACAGCCACAGCGTGCAGATGCACGCTTGTGACGCGCTGTCCCCCTGCCTACCATCGGAACGGAGAAAGGTGTAATCATCCCAAAGCTCCGAGCTTCTGGTATGCACTAGTGCTCTTTCATCACTACTCTTGCTTTAAGTTAGGACTAGCTTGACGCTTGCGTCGGAGCGATCAGACTGAGGAACGATACGGCTTGGTAGACGCCAAAACGTATCCTGCGCCGCTTTGTTGCGCATCTTCAGCTTTGCGTCGGCTGGAGTTGTCCCGAAAAGATCGCTCTTCAACGAAATCATTAACAAACTGAACAAGCTTCGTGGCGGGCTCATATAACGATAATCATTCTATTGTTTAAATATTATCTATTAATGCTTATGCTTCCAGTTATTTTGTTTTTAAATACTTTATTCGTTATCGATTATGTCCAGTGAGTTATGCCTCAAGTTCCATTTGGGCTATCAGGTCCTTCGTGTGCGTGTCAACCCTTCTGATTGCCAAACAGCATCTCAGTTGAGTGAGTACATTGAAAAGGCCTGGCCTCAGCTGCAGGGTGCGGTCTATCGTCTATTCTATACCGATGAGTCCGGCGAGATGTGTGTCTTGAACGATCTCTCAATCGGAGATGCTATGAGCACCGCCGAGGAGGCCGCCAAGAAGTCAAACACCACACCGGTGTTGGATGTCTATGTGAAGGTCGATGGTGATGAGGACGAAGAGTCTGTGTCAGCTGCTCAGACTGCCACTGACTTGTTGAATGATTTGGATCTGATGACTGATCCTTATTATGCTCAACAGTTGGTGGACAGTTTAGTAGAGACTGGTCAGGACGTTGACAAGTTTGCTGATACATTGCAGACTAAGAAGGATCAACAGCAGAAGGTCGCTGCTAAGAAGCCATCTCTTGCACAGCGTATTGCTAACAAGTTCCATCCTGCTAAGAAGGAGGAAGCTGCTACTAAGGATTCCTCCAAGCCGCAGATGCAAGTCAGCTTTGATCAGACTGTTGATAATGGTTCCGGTGCACCGAAGACTTCTCACTTTGAGAAGAATGTTTCCTCGGAAAAGGAGGCTAAGGATGCTATGGCTGATTTCTTAAAGAAGTCTGGTTATACCAGCAACGAGAAGACTGCTGAGGACTTGGTTAACAGACTTTTTGGTCCCAGATCTGATTATTCTGGTTTCGAGAAGTTTGCCGACAATCTTCTAGACTACGGTGATGCAAGCAAAGATGAGAAGAAGGCCGCTAAGAAGTCCTCCGATCTTCGTGCTTTGGATACCGATCAGTCAGCTAAGCAGTTTGCTGATATGCTTAATGACTTTGGCTTCGTCGACAACAGCACTGCTGCTCGTGAACTGACTAGCGCATTGATGGCCGCCCAGCAAGATCTCGATCAGATCGAGAAGAACTTCGCGGTTGAAACTGCTGCTGAGAAGGCTCAGAACAAGAGCAACTAAAAACTATTCTCAAGACAGTTCAATGTACGGTAAAGCTGTATTGAGCTATCCTCCTTTACTATACACAATATCAATATAATGATACTCAATCTTATCTTTGACAATCAGTTCATTTTGTGTTACTAGTAGTTCCAATGGTACGATAATTAGGCGCTTATCGCAAACCTCTGACAATTCTAAGAACAGTATTTGACTCGACCTCCGTACGGCGGGCGTTTCGGGCTATAATATCCTTATTGTCTGTCCTCGTCTTTTTGCAC